ATAGGGTTCCTTTAAAGGGATCCAAAAAGGGTTCTATGAGGGATCTATGATAGGGTTCTATCTTAGGGGCCTTCATAATTAGAATAGGGTTTTGGGGCCCATTATACTAAATTATGAATAAGGAACCCCCAAAATAGTATAGGTAACTACTTAGGCCCCTATTTTACCCACGAGTCTTCAGGTAACTTGTCAACCTGTCTGGGGCTTAGAATCTCAGAACTCTTCGCAGAAGCACCCCAAACCAAAAGACCAAAACTGACTCCCAAACCCTCCCTGAACCCTGAACCCTGAACCCCAAACGCTGTGAAGCCTCGAAGCCCCCGACCCCCGGGCCCTGCAAACCCCCTCCAGGGCTCCCACTGAAGCGCCGGGCGGACGACCGGCTTCTGCCAGCCCGCCGGGCCCAGCGCGACCTGCTCTCCGGAAGGGCTGAAAGGGTCGGAGGCTGACGGGAAGTCTGCGATTTCGGGACATTTTGTTAGGGTCCTGGGTTGGGCTTTTGACCTGCAAGCTTTGGAACCTGAACTCTTTGCCTTCGGATTCCAAATCCCAAGACCCCCCCCCAGGTAGGCTGACAGACCTCGCCACCTGCGGGCGGCACCGCACCGCCTGAACGAGAAGCAGATCGGGAAGCAAGTACTTGCGGTGTGAAGGTAGGCTTGAAGGCTTAGTTAAATCGCACTGTGGGGACATTCTTGGCAATGTGGAAGGTAAAGTCACGACACGATGCCCTCAAACGGGAACACCGACATCCTCAAACCCCTATAGTAGGCCACAACAAATTGCACCCCTAAAGCCCTAGGCCTCACTTAGTTAAAAGTAGATCAAACACCACAAAATCGGGCCAAATCCTGAATCCGATACACACTCTACTGCTAAAAACTGCCAGATCTCCGGAAACCTTGTAATAACGCAGGAGCCCTTCATAAAACCCTGGCATAAAGCAAGAAAACCTATGAACTCCCAAAGATGAACCCTACAAAACCTTCTCTGACTATGAGAGCATGTACATATACACAAATATAAATATCATATGTACTGTGTATATATATATATATGCACACAATGGTTACCCTGTACATGTATACATAAATAAATAAATTTATATATATATATATATATCTATTTATTTATTTATTCATTTTTTTATTTTTTTTTATTTATATTTATTTATTTATTTGTTTATAGACATATATATATATATATAATTATATAATGGCCACCTCCCGCACCCCGGCTGCCAGGACGAGGACCCGATGCCTCGGAGGGAGCAGTCAAAAGATACGTGTCACCTGCATAAAGGAAACCTCAGAGGAGCCGTTAAAGGGAATCTATAAAGGAGCCCTTAAAGGAGCCCTAAACCCTAAACCCCAAACCCTTAAAGGAACTCTTTAAAGGAACGCTTAAGGGCTCTTAAGAACGGGATTGTAGCTTTGGAGGCAAAGGCCTTTTGCTGAAGGAGCTTCTGAAGCTCGCTTGCAAGACGGGTAGCCTAAGAAGCAGGGTTTAAGGCTTAGGGTTTAGGGGGCTGTAAGTCAGGGCTAGAGCCAAACATTTGCAAAGCAGCCCGAATAAAGCTTTTGTTCAAGAGATGAGGTGCGGGGCTTGGACACGGAGCAAGGGGTCCACTGATTGAGCTTACGGCTCGGATTGAGGGCCGAGGGTCAGCGTTGCTCGGAAAGTTGGTGCGTTGGTTTTTTGTTGGCCATAGGTCTTCAGCAATCTTAAGCAAAAAATCCGGGCAGCATTCTTGTCGAAAGTCCAACATGCTGCTTTCACTGCAAGGCCAGACAGCTCCTTTCAGCAAGCCCTCCACGTCAGCAGCTACATAACAAGCTGCTCACGCCTCTCAGGCCTGAGAACTCCGCCTCAACGCCGGGCCGAGGCTTGTGCGCGTGAAGGAACGACTTGAACCCTGCGGTTAAAAACGCACTGACCCGAAGCCCCATGAGGCTTGTGCGTAGCTCGTGATCGCTGGCCGGGGTGCCCCAGTTTGCACCTAGGCCGCAGAAGAAAGTAAGCGTGATCTCTACCTGCAGAAACTGTCAATATCGCTAGTTTCAGTAAGCACACACGTCGGCAGGAATTGTACATATCGCCACCTTCACCAACCCGACAAATTATAGCCTTGCTCGTAATGTCTTGTAACATCTTGTAACTGCCCTATGGGCGTTCGAAAGCGTCTGGCTGAAACTCTCAGGTGTTCCTTAATTCTTAAGGTTTGCCGGTGTCGGGACCTGTCATATACCGACATCAGAAAGTGTTTCTAGTGGCAACCAATGAAAGTTACTTAGGACATGAGGTGCAGGAGCAAGATGCAAAAAAAGGCTCAACTTTAGAAGCGCAAGCCAAGGAACAACAGGCCGTGTCCGGGACTAGGCCTTACATCTAGGGCTCTCATACCCAAACCATACTAAGCACCTTCACAGCATCTTCACAGCAGAAACTCAAAAGCCCGACCCTCTGCACCCGCGCCGTGGAGGGAGCAGACCTGGCGTGGGTAGCCCCTAGATTTGGTGGTTCGCGGAGAACCCGGTTCCCCAGAATCCAAGACTTATGCCCCAAAAAGACATTGTTAAAGCTCCGGGCTCTGATTTCCTCGAAAAGTACTTGGGGGTAGTCCGACATTCCCTGTTCAAGGTGTATTCGGCTCCCCCCGTGTCGAGGGTTAGGAGCTTCGGGGGTGTCTTTACCACCTTCAGGGTCAAGGCGTCGAATTTGTTCACCCCCGCACCCTAATATAGGGGCCTTAACAATTAGAATAGAATTTTGGGGGCCCATTTTGCTATAATTATAAAAAAGAGCCCCCAAAAATAGTCTTGGTAACTATTTAGGCCCCTATATGCCACCCCCAGTTGTCAAGTCAGCCTTGGGCCCCAGTTCCCCAAACCGTGAACCCAAAATCCTCTAGAACCTGTGTAGCAACCCGTACGGTCGCCCTGCTATCCCATATAAACCCCCTTATAATGAGGCCCAATAAGATAGGGACATCCCTATAAAATGCTTATGCTTATGTCCTTGTGGGGTTCCTCACCAAAGGCTCCAACTACGGGGCCTCTGCTGCGAGCCCTGCGCCGGCCCATCGCGGGAGGAGGGCCGGGCGTGGCCTCGGGTCAAAGAAGCGTCAGATGGAGGGCTTAGGTTGTTTTGGGGTTTAGGGTTAAGGGACTGGTGGTTGACGGTGGTGACCGTGTATTGAGGAGCCCTCGGGAGTGGTCATCATGAGCGAGAGATTCCAAAATTTCCCTGCAGGCTAACATTCCCCAAATTAGTCCAAACATACTTCAACAAAGTAATTTCAATGACAGGCATCTTGGCCTGTATCAACTCCTATGGCAGCAAGCAACCTATAGATCCGTACACCTCTTGGCAGAACTCGGAACTCCCAGTTCTCCAGTGCACCAACAGCGAGGCGCCCCAATCCTTCAGAAATTCGGGAGCGTTAAGGCTTAAGGGGTCCTCTAAGGCATTTGGGACAGCCGGGAACCCGAACTCTCGAGGCTGACGATGCTCACGCGCCGCTCGCCGGGACCTCCTCCGTGGAAGGGTTTGGGGGCGTTCGGGATTGAGGGTTTAGGAGTTAGGGCCCAGGGCTTTTTTTTCCCTCTCCCTGGGCTTAGGCTTAGGGGTTCGGTTCAGCCTTTAGCGGGCCTGGGCTCAGGGCTCTAGGACTCAACGGGCTCACTCACAGCATTGAGGGGCTCAAGCTTCTGGGCAGGGCTCCGACGTGGGCAGCAACATTTCCTATAGTTTAGGGTTTAGGGTTTAGGGTTTAGGGCTTAGGGTTTAGGGTTTATACTGCGTCTTCGACACCACGGCGACGCCCCTTCAAAAGCCTACGATGCACATGGGACGACTTGAAAAAGTTGTGGTTCACCCCAAGTGGTGATACAAGCGTTTTGTCAGACCAACCCATTCTCGCCCTCACCCCTTGTTCTGAAATTCACACCCCTTGCAAGCCTGGCGACTCCCCCCAAAAAAAAACCTTCCGGACGCTTTTTGGGTTTTTTGGGCTAACGGAACAGACGTCGTGCCTCCGCCTCCACGAGAGCTAGGGCCTGGGACGGGAGGCTCTGGGGCTGTGTAGGAAGGCAGAGGGAGAGGGCTCTGGAGGAAGTAGGGGTCCCTTTAATTCGGGTGTCCTTGTAATAAGGATCTTCGCTCTTATGTTCTATATGGTGGCCTCCCTTATTGCCTACAATTCCCTAAGCCCTCATGCGGAAGCGGCAAAGGTAGTGGTAGTAGCAGCAGAAGTGATAGATGCATTGGCCTGACCCTTGGTATGATCGGCCCGGAGCACAACCCTAAACCCCAAAGGACTTGATGAATGCCAGCACCCTAAAGGCCCTCAAACCTAAGCCCCAAACCCTTTCTGCAACAGGCCTCGTTGCTCAACCCTAAACCCGAAACCTCCAGACTCTCTCAGACTCTGACCTGGGGTCGGATCGCGCCCTAAAACCCCACGACTAACGTCGAGCATGGACTGCAGGTGCTCCCCTACACAACCCTTATAACCCCCTAAACCCCAAACCCTAGACTCTAGACCCCCGAAACCCTAAACACACAACCCCTAACCCCTAAACCCCAAACCCTAGACCTTAAACCCAAAACATTAAACCTAAAAAAAGCGTCCGAGGCCCAAACAGGATCGGAAGCTCCAAGAGCTGCGAACCCTGAACCCCCGAAGCCGGAATCCCGAACCCTGAGCCTGGGTTTAGGGTTTAGGGTTTAGGGTTTAGGGTTTAGGGTTTAGGGTTTAGGTTTTAGGGTTTAGGGTTTGGGGAGGAGGCTGAATAAATGTAGGGGCCTTAACCATCCGAAGAGGGTTTTGGGTGGGTTCCCTATGATAATTATAGAATACTATCTGGTTCTGAAGGCTCCTATACTAACAAGAGCCCTATTCCAAGCTTTACGGCCCCTACACTCAAGCCGAAAGTTAAACCCTAAACCCTACAAACCCTAAACCTCCCCCTGGATCTCTCTTTGTAGGCTCGGCCCCGGCACCCCACACGGGTCATAAAGCAGACGAGTGCGATGTCATGTCAGTGCTCAGGGTTTACTTGAGGTTTCTGGCTTTTTGGGGCTTTTGGGTTTATGGTAGAATCGTCACAGTATCTCTTGTAATTACGGTAAGTCAAGCAAAAACTATACTAATCATTGTGGGTGTCGTAAAAATTTGCGGATCTAGAGCTTCGACTGGCTGGTACACAGGTCTTCGGGGTCGAGCCGTCATGGCAGGACCGGGTTCTTCGTGAGATTTGCTTCCAGTGCCTTTCGGGCTCTGTCCTCCAGGGTTCCGTTCTATCTTCCCTTCTAGGTTAAAGGTTTAGGGTTTAGTGCTTTTTACGACCGTCTACGATTTGGGGTTTGGGGTGCAGAGTTTTGGTTCCTCGAACATTCGAGCCTCTTTAGTCCAGATCCCTGTTCTATCACACTCGTCCTGTCAGCCCTCGTGTCTACGTGGGCTGCCCCGGGCTGGATCGCCGAAGGAGCCTCGCTGCTCCATCAGCTCTCCATCTACAACTAAGCTGCCGGACCCCATGTGAAACACACTGCTCCCCTTCCGGGTTTCTTGGCTTTTGCTTGGGCTTGAGGGAACCCGGAATCGCGAGATTGCAAAGCCCCGAACTCCTTGATCCTGTGCAACCACCAACCACCACATACCTGGGGGAGTATTAGCAGGAGGGGAAGGAAGAGAGACGGTGTACTTCCTCCGATTGTTAAGCTCAGTTTTACCTTTACGGTCATGACGACTCGTATCGTCGTTGCGTTGCCTGCACTGCTGTATCAAGTTGAGCCTTATCTCCTTGTCCAGGGCTCCTTCGAAGCTCACTCCCAGGCAATCGAAGCCACAACAAAGCGCACACTAGACATGACGTGATAAAGCCCAACCTACATGACATGATGCCAGTGAACCTGCAGCTGAAAGGGCCACACCTCCCCGCGTCCTTTCTTTGAAACCCTTAGGACACGCCTAGCGAAGCATGGACGAACTCGAAATTAGGCATCTGCCCGCTGGACCTTCAGCCCTATCAACACTACGACCTTGGCCTTCGATGTGTATAGGTTTCAGGCGTGAGGGGTCGCAGGAAGCGGGACACCCCGAGCTTCTCAGCCTTTCTCCTAGGGCTCCAGGGACGAATGGAACTCCATCGCTTGCACACGCTGCAGCGATGGGCTGGGGATCCGCTTCGGCATGCCTGCGAGACCCGAAACCCTAAACCCTAAAGGGATCCGGGCTTGTGTTGTTAAGGACTGAGGAGAAGTTCGACTTTCGCAAACCCGGATTGAGGGTAGGGGGTTGAGGGTTTGCGCTTGGCACTTCCAGGTTTGGGCTTGAGTTGAAGCCCCATGTTGTTGGGCTGAAGCGAGTTAGCGGAGCTAGGGTTCCTAATCCAAGGAAGAGGGTCGGCCATCATTGGGTTAGTTCTCCCTCTTGTACAGCAGCCAACCTACTGGGAAGTTACTTTATACGGGTATAAACGGTTCCACATTGCGCGCTGTGTGTTGTGTGGTGTCAGGACCGGCGTATGGACGGGAAACCTTACTCATACCGTTTCTGAGTCCGACGTAGCAAGCCTCATGCCGTGCCTTTCAACTCTTGAATGCACTAGGACTAGGAGCACACTGGAATCAGTAGAATCACTAGAACAAGGAGCCCGAGAAGTGGCCCCAACCTGGGATTTGTTCCCTTGGCCCGCTATCTGCGCCGCCGGGGATTTTGGGCTTCATACCCCCGGACACGCATGTAGAGCCTGGGAACTTTGCAATCGAATCCGCAGTTCTTGAATCAGCGTACCACGATAACTACTGCCAGAAATCCTCTTAGTGCCGTCGCGTTTCCTATGGTATCGCTAAGCAAGACATAAAGTCTTCGTGCTCTCATGTGATTCAGAATTGTGGGAAATTTTGGGATATTCGGGTCTACCGAACCTCTCTTCATTGTGCTAGCTATCGCTACAACACCTCTTCCAAACGCGCAAGTGGCCCTCTGAAACCGAAACAAGCCCTGTTTCCCTCAGCAGGATGCTCCAGCAGTGCTGATGAGACTGGTCCCGATGATATCAAAAGTACAGATCATGACCACCCTCACTGTACATTCATTACATCCGTGCGGCCTGAGATCTTCACCCCTGCGAGCGTCTGGAACCTGGCACACATCGTCACGTAAAGAAACCACTGGCACGACTTCACCTAGTTTAGGGTTTAGGGTTTAGGGTTTAGGGCTCAACTTCACTGAGGCGAGACAGCACTTGGAAATGTTCACACCAACTCCACGTTATCATCATCGACATCTGAAACCAGCCCCAGGCTCCGTCATCTGACTGTTGCATCAATCTTCCTTTCCCTGAAGCGGGTCCCGCAAGTCATGGCATGGCCGGTGTAAAACTGAAACTTGGAACACTGATGCCACTCGAGCCATCATCTTGGGATGTGCCGACTGCAACATCGAGCCTTAGCTAAGCTTTTCGAGCCATGCGTCGGCCGCACTTCGTCTTTAGTAAATCCTGATCCTTCGAAGGGTCCATGCAAAAGGCATCGAAAACGCATCTGAGGTTCTGAGTAAGGGAGTCCTAAACCCTAATACCCTAAACCCTAAACACCCAAAACGCATCTGAGGTTCTGAGTAAGGGAGCCCTTTTTGCAACAGGCTTTCCACTTCGCCTGGAGTTGGAGCAAGCAGCCCTGGGAGCCCTAAACCCTAAACCCAAAACACCCAAAACACATCTGAGGTTCTGGGTAAGGGAGCCCTAAACCCTTTTGCAGTAAACCCAAAACACATCTGAGGTTCTAAGTAAAGGAGTCCTTTCTCTGCCTTTCGAAGCCTGAGCTCCATAGCCCCGAAGGCCTGGCTCAACCTACAACCCGACTTGCGAAGTCCACCGATCTTCCAAGCAATGCCATCATTAGTTCAGGGTTTTGTTTTTGTTTTAGGGTTTAGGGTTTAGGGTTTCAAGGTTTTAGGGTTTTAGGGTTTTAGGGTTTTAGGGTTTAGGGTTTAGGGCTTAGGGTTTAGGGAACCCCCTTGCTCCCAACGCCCTAGACATCCACAACTAAACAACAAAACAAAAGGTGTGATAACAAAAAACGCGTAACGCGTGTAAGGCCTTGACACCCGACCTTCGACCTCTCAACCTGGATCCGTGAACCTTGAAACTCGAAAGCATCGGTCCCAAATCCTAAACCCCAAAACCCTAAAACTCTAAAAGCCCTAAAAGCCCTAAAAGCCCTAAAAGCCCCAAAAGCCCTAAAGCCCCTAAAACCCTAAAACTCTCAGCCCTAAACCTAGCAACTTCGACTCAAAGGTCGAACTTCCGATGCCTGGAGAGTGCCACGTACACCTGCGCGGTCTCGAAAGCCCTCGATAGGTCCTGGGACTGGGGATTAGGGTTTGGGGTTTATGGACTTCAGGCTGCATGAACTATTCACAAGTTTGAGGTGTAGGATTCAGGGGTTTGGCGTTTAGGCTCCGGGTGCTTCGTCTAGGACTGCAGGGTCTGCTGTTTTGGGTGTGGCGTTTGAGCTTTAAACTCTAGGATACTCTAGGTCTAAGTCCAGATCTCGAGTTTAGCGTTTGGGCTTTGTGGTTTGAAGTGCCTCAAGCTAGAGAAAATAGGAGGCATCCGCAAAGCTCGATTTCTGGTTCCAGGTTTTTGGAGGTTCAAGATGGAACTATCACATGGCAGCATCCTGCTCAGCAGAGTAATTTTGTTGGTAGTTGGTACAGTATACAGCCCTTCAGCCCTAGACCCACAGCCCCTAAACCTTCAACAAGCCAGTCTCAGGCCCCCGATTCTCAGTCCATTACGGCCCTGAAGCTCTCGGACAACCCTGCCGTGTAAAGTTTCGACTCACAGACCCGCTCAAGAAGGCTTCACGCCATCCGAGCTTGTGGGTTTAGGGTGGTTAAACCCTAACCCTAAACCCTAAACCCTAAACCCTAAAACCCTAAAACCTTAAAACCCTAAACCCTAAACCCTTCAAGCAAACTCTCTTAGTAGCCCAGGGTCCAGCTCCCCCGTCTGCAAAGTCCTCGGGATCGTCCGAGGTTGGGCTTGGAGCTCATGGTCGACTAATAAGGGCCTTAATAATTAGAATAGGGTTTAGGGGTATCTACTATAAGGGCCTTAATAGTTAGAAGAGGGTTCAGGGGTATGTTGTGCTGTTTTTATCATAAGTCTACTAATAAAGGCCTTAATAGATAGAATAGGGTTTAGGGGTATGTTGTACTATAATTATCATAAGTCTACTAATAAGGGCCTTAATAGTTAGAATAGGGTTTAGGGGTATGTTGTACTGTAATTATCATAAGTCTACTAACAAGGGCCTTAATAATTAGAATAGGGTTTAGGGGTATCTTGTACTATGGTGATAATAAGGAGCCCACCAGAACCCATTATGATTATTAAGGCACCTACATTAGGTTCGAGGGTTGGCGCAACTACTTCTCGAAAAAACCCCGAAGTCTCCGAAAATTCAGTACCCCTGAACCGCCCGATCTTCCTTGATTTTGGTGGGATCCCTATACAAACCCGAAACCTAGACGGGTTTTAGGGTTTAGGGTTTAGGGCTTTAGGGCTTTAGGGTTTTAGGGTTTAGGTTTATGGTGCATGGACTAACTTTCTACCAATCCCCTCGAGGGTTTATCAACCTCAGCTTCCAATCTCGTGCGATCTTGTGCCGTTGCTTTGCTGCTCGTTTTCTATGCGGCATTGTAAGAAACTCAAGGTGCTTTACAAGCTTTTTGTGGCTTCAGTTTTTGTGGCTTCAGAGGACTTTACAGGGTTTCATGGGGCCCCATCCTTACGTCACAGGGCTCTGCAGGGCTGCCTAGGGCTTCACTCACTGGGCTCTTGACGGCTTTATAAAGATGGTAATCATAACAAAAAGAAGCAGAATGATAATACTAATGATAATACTAATGATAATAATAATGATAATAGCCATAACAATGAAAGCAATGAGAAGAGGCTGGTGGCGGATTCGCCTCTGGGGAGCGGAGGGCAGGTTGAGGGATTGTAGGCTCTAGGCTTCAGGAGCCAACGCGCAACCACTGTCATACGCAGACTCACTGGCATAAGTGAAAACAAGACGAGGCAAGACGCTACTAAGGGGCAACAAGAAGAGGAAGAGGAAGAGGAACCGTTAGAAGGAGAATACCATGCAAGCAACAATACGAAGATATTCTAATTACAACCCTTACCTAAGCCCAAGGCCCCGAACCCCAAGTCCTAAACTGAGCCCTGACCCCGAATATCCCCGAACCCTTAACCCAAAGCCCCAAACCCACAAACCCTCGGCCTTAAATCCTAAGACCTGAGCCTGACGCTCAAAAACCCCCGGAATGCGGCCGGGCAGCAAGCCCTGCGTCTTGTGCACCGTGAGAGCCCAGGCCAGCTTGAGGGGCACCTGCCTCGATCAGCCCGCAGAGACATGGGTAGTTCTCTAAATTAGGGTCCCTTTTTGGGGGCCCCTTTTTATAAGGGTGCCGTACTATTTTTGGGGATCCAACAGGGGGCCCTAATTTAGAGAACTGCCCACATAGGGTTTAGGGTGTAGGGTTGATGATATAAATCCTGCACTACCCATGTCAAGGAATATGCCATGATTCCCATAGTTTAGGGCCCTTAAGGTAATGCAAGATTTGTATCATCAACAGTAGGGCCTTTCGGGGCGTAGAGGTCTGTAACGGGGTTGTATAGGGCCTTGAAAGAGTTAAAAAAGGGATAAATGGTTTTACAGGGGCTCTGCGATGCTTGATAAGTTTCTTTGGGGCTTTGAAAGTTTGAAGCGGGCTTATAATATAATCAAGGCTTTACGAGTTACGGTCCAAGAGCTCTCGGGATTGGGTGGGGAACTGTGGGGCTTCGAGCTTGTCACCGCGAAGATTGTCGGTACGTTGTGGTTCTTGAGTCTAAGTAGACTCCCGTCGGCCCCAAACCTTATCGTAAGGTTACCTCGGCACCATGTTAATCCCAAAACCTCGACTCAGTCCCTCTATGTTCCTGAACCCGCCGAAGGCCCGAGTCGAGTGCACCTGACGGATACCCTATGGCACTCGGTGGACAGCACAAACTTAGCGTTGAAAGTATGGGGTCTGTCGCTTATTTAGTGAGGCTTTTGGAGTCAGGGTTCTGACGTTCGAGTCTTCCGAACAGCGGTCCTGGCCGTAGGGTGACCCCGCTCTTTCCGCCAATCCAGTTGGGTAATGCCCAGGCCCCAAGACTATTGAAAGTAAACACGGTCGCTCTTACTTTCTTACCTCGTCAATTATTTCGGCCTTCTCGCTTATCTCCTCGCCACCCAGGTGGGGTTGCTGGGATCCCGGCGTGCGGCTGTACTTTCCGAGATGGCCGAGCTCGCCGGAGAATTCCTGGGCATCGGAGGGATATTCGGGCTTTTATGGTTTAGGGTGGGTTGCGGGGGTGCACTGACGTTACGCAGAAAATCGTGGGAAAAAACCCTGTTGGTAGGCCCCAAGGCCCAAGTAGTAATGACCGACAGCAGCCGTCGAAAAGTGGCCTTCTAGACAGCAGACAGCCCCAAACAGGCCTGCCATGCTGTCAAGAGCCGACTTAGACCCCACAAAAGCCTGGGGTTTTGATACTCAGCTCGCGTTCCTATGGGATAATGTACAGACCAGTTCGGTTCCCGCCCGCAGACATGCCCGGCACTCTGTTGGCCTGAGTAGATGGTTCGATACAACAAAACGCTTTCACAGCTGCCAGTCCCACACGACATTCCAGAAAGGCACACAAGTCGACAAAGAGCAAAAATGAATGCTGAACCAATGTACATTGGAGTTCGACACGAGTACGTTATCGCGTGCGCTTCGATGCGCACTCGGCATAGAGACAGTGATGTGATCTGCATCTTAAGGGAAGGGAAAAGGAGGTCCTCAAACCCACAGATAGCATAGGCACAGCCTTACAAGATGCAGCTGCCAGCCTTCCTGGGTAAAGGCTACGCAGGCTTCAGAACGCGTTCCTTGAGCTTCCGGGGGCACAACATTCACAAATGTACTTATACTGCCTTTCGAAAATAGGAGACCCTAATATAGTACCCTAAATAATAGGATCCTTAATATAAGGACTCCAAAATAAGGTACCCCTAATTTTCTGAAGTTGTACGGTTGCACTCCTGAGCCTCGGACATGCATCCTATGTCTTCGAGAAAAACGGACCGAAGGGATTGGATCAGCCTGAAGAACTACATCTGAAAGGGAGGCCTACGAAGCTGACATGCCCGAAGTAGCCTCTCGACTCTGCACGAAGCATGCATGCTTCCAGACATCCCCCCCTCACCCCTAAAGGCCGCTGTTATATTTCCCGCGTAGCATACCCCAGAACCCTATGTCTCGGTACTGCGGTAAAGAAAAGCTCCAACGGCGCGGCCGAGCGTCCGCAGGCACGATGAGCCGGCGGTACCCCCGCGAAAACTCCTGGGGCTCCGCAGCTTCTTCCGGGATCACATCAACGATCTCAGGGCTTAGCTAAAGGGTTTAGGGCTTGGGGTTAGGGTTTAGGGTTTCCTTCGGGTTGCAGCGCTTTGGTATGAGGAGTTTCCTGGGTTTGGCAGTCGGGTTCACCACAGATCTTGACGACTAGAAGACTTTCGCCTGCAGATTTTAGTAGAGGCAAGGCTCCACAAGCGGGCAGTCCATTCCGTGCTCCGAGGAATGCTCAAAGCCGACCACCATGCCGATGCTGCCGTTGACCAATGGGGTTTGCAACCCCTGGCAGGGACCAGTGAAAACAGTATGTTTCCGGCAGCATCATTTTACGATTCGTATTTGCCTCACTGCACCACCATCACCACCACTAGCAACACCACCCACCACCCACCACCCACCGCCCACTCTCTACCACCACCCCAATACTGTAGCTGTCTCGAGACACCCTTCGAACTAAAATGAAGAGCTCCGAGAAAACTTCCCAGATCTGCACCTGATATTCGGAGGGGAGGTCCATGAAGCTGGTGTCGTAGTCGATGTCGAGATCCGAAGGGCGCTTTCCTCCAAAAAGGCCGGAGTTCAGTGCGAGGAGCACACCGGCACCGGCACCCAAACCCCAAACGCACTTGTCTTCCCTTCCTATGCTCTTGAAGGAGTTATTCAATCAGGAGGCTGCAACTTACACTTAGATTTTTTTGCATCCAGCCTGCAAGAGCCTCTTCTTACACTTAGATTAAAACCCTAAACCCTAAACCCGAATCCCTAAACCCTAAGCCCTAAGCCCTTGTAAACGGTTTATGGCAGAACTGCCGGAGATCGAAGAGGTCGGCCAGTCCTCCTCTCCGAGGAGTGGTGAAAACCACGGGTTTGCAGTCGCTTGGTAGGCGAAGGTTCTTCAGCAGCATGACGACCTTACGGGGTTATTAGGGCCTTATTAGGGTTGAGGCTCTGGTTTAGGGTTTAGGGTGTAGGTTTCAGGGTTTAGGGTCTCCAGCAGTGGGTTCTCTCTCCAGCCCTGCTGCATAACGAAGGGTTGCCTCAGCTTCTCTCTAAGACCTTCACGCGGCCCCCTCTGCAACCACATCATTGCTGGTTCAGGCGGCGCAGCCCACCTTTAATTCCAGCGTCTTCTCGACAAGCAGACTTTCCAGCGCATTCACCACCCCGGGATCCTTGTCACAGCCGAATCGCGAACTGTCAGTTCCCATCTACAGACTTACTATGGTGCCAGAAGCCAAAAACCTTGAGAGATAAAGTACCTTCTTCTTAAAAATCAGAACAGGAACATGACCGGCAAGCTGCGAAGATTGTGCCCCCAACTCCAATGAGGATCCGGGGTGAGGACTAAAGGATCAATTAAGTCACAAAAACTGTCGTTGGGTCACAGACATTCTGCTAACCACAGCTAGGCTGAGTTCACAACGACAAGAGCACGATATAGGGGTAAGGCATACAAGATTGTAAACCGCCCTGCCTTAGCCACTGCTCCTGAAGAGCATCCTGGAAAAGCCCCTTTTTGCCCAGAGGTTCGTGACTCAAGGGCACACTAAATCGATGGCTTCGCAACCTACGGGTTATCAGGGACCGGAGACCATAACCGGCAGGCCGCCTCTCTGCAACTAGACGTTCCCAGACATGATGGATCGGGAACATGGTGTGCTTCTTGCAAAAACCGCTGAACATCTGCACGCTTGAACCCCTTACCCAAACCCTCCTCATCGAAAACCTGAATTGCTGGACCGCTTCGGACTTCCAACGTCCTTCTGCCCAGGTTCACGCGGGTTGTCCGCCTCATCCCGCGAGGAAAAGGTCCTGGCCTTGTCCGGCAGTATGCCGAGGTTCCTTCTCACGTGCAGTTCTGCAAGGGTTACGACAAGGGTACTATAAGGGTCACTGCTTACTTTAAGGGTATTCTATATACGAGTTAATATAATACCGGGGTTCAGGGTGCAGGCAGCATGGGGTCTAGTCTAGGCAGCGGCTTAATCTGGGATGAGACCCCTTGGCCGAGGCGCGGGAGGGGCTGATTCACATGGAGCTTAGGAGCCGGGGCACGGATTCGGTTTCAGGGCTTAGTGTCCGGTTGCTGTCAGCACCAAGAGAGTCCTTGCGTTGATCTTCAGCGCTTCGTCGTTGGTGCTGACGATCTTCGGATGGACCTGGACGACGAGGTTTGGGCTTCAGCTCAGCTCGAGGTTTCGGCTTCAGAATGCCTGAAATCCCTAACCACCTCCTACACCCAAAGGCTACAAACCATAGTGGCATCGCCCTCTGCACCCTGAACTGCAAAGTTGAACAGACCCCTTGTTTCTAAAACCCCCATGGGGCCTTCGCACCGCCTTCGGTGTCGAAGCTGGCGGCCAGCTTCGACTTTTCCAAGACGCCCAAACGCAGCTGACCCAGCCTTTGCTCAAGGTTGCCCCAGCAAGAAGAGTTCACGGGTTTCGGCGCTCACCCTCGGAATGTCTAGACTTTGCATGGGCTTACGGTTAGAGGTTTGCTGTCAGGTTCTGGGGTTTAGGGTACAAAACGCCTGGCAGCCTGGAAGGGCCTAGGAGGGGAAGCTGGAGAAAGCTGCAAAGCAAGGCGTCAGCTTAAACAGCGCAAGCGCATCCCGTTTTTTGGCCAGAATCATTGGACAGACTGTTGCTTTACTGCTTGTCAGTGGTTTGCACCGAAGACGACATTGCCGTTGTTGCGGTTCCTGTTGCTTCGTTGCTCCTATCTCTCTCTTATCCTCCGATATTCTGGGTTATTACTGTGTATCTCCTTGTGTGTGTGTTCTACAGTCTTCTATGGCTTTCCCATCACGCACCAACCATTGCAGCCTATGGTTGCTTGATGTTGCTTGTCATGCTGAAACTTCTAGGTTATGTTTTTCTGGTTTCATCTCGTTCTCGTTACGCTTACCGGTAGCATCATCAGGCTTACTCATGATACTGCTTCGATGTTGGCTAGCACTCCATCAACTCTATTACGGCAACCGGCTGGCATCAACATTACTTCTGATGTACAGATAACAAATAAACTCTACGCTTGTAGTGACTGCTGCTGAGATCTGCTACCTGATGTTACGCTTCGCTGACTATCGTTATTACAAGTTACAACAGTACGTTTAGCAAAAACAGAGAGGCCTTCCGACAAGGACACACAAGCAGCTTCCCCGAGCTGTACTCTTATTGATCATGGGTCATACATCATGCGAGTAGAACAATCTCAACAGCATATTAAACAGGCATGCGGAAGCACTGGAACAAACAGATCAGCTCAACCACTTCCGGTCCGAGCAGCAGCGACTGGAACTCGTGATCACCTTTGTCAGAAGAAGGGGGATTGCAAGTTTATTGCCCAGGAGTCCCCAGCAACCCCTGAATAACACATATGGACATATTTCGAACAAGAACCCCACAAAACAGAAAGATCCTGAAAGGGTGCTATTGGGGGGCCGGGCCTAAAAGCACGTCAATAAGCCCCTTCCTTTGTATCATCGGACTCCCACATTCGAATTCTGCACGTGTCCGACAGGCATGCGTTCCGGACGCTTTGTTTGCCAATATTGGAAGAAGTTCGAGGATAGCGCAGGTCAACTGCAAGCGTCTTGAGTCTTGAGTCAGGTTGCTTTCCTTCGTCCGCCCGATGTCTGACTTGTGACAGTGGCTCCACCACATGGGACTGGTCCCCTGCACTTGTCTCCCAGCTCAACTTGTTGCATTGAATTCGCACAACCTGACTTCGTATGTCTTGCAGCAATCCCCCCTGGTCGTCGTTGCATCCGCCGAAGCTTGCTTGTCTCCCGAGCCCCCTGCTTGCGAGCCTGATGATGACTTCTGACTGGCTAGCATGATTTTTCTGGGCCTACCTTGGAGCAGGTGCCATGTATCCTACAGCCATCAGAGCACGGGCGTTTCGGAGGGTTCAAGAAGAATCTGGAGAGCTTGGTGGTCGTGGCTCGTCCTGGCTCTGGAAGCACTTGGGGCTCTTATGGCACCATAGTAGCACGTGTGTGAGCAGCAGTGAACATCGTCTGCTGTCTTGAGACGAGGCACATGATTGCCGGAAGTTGTGCTTCAGAACAATATGCCTGCTCCAGCGAAAGGGAAGGCATGAACCGGAAGAGACGACTCCCGCCGCAAGAGGAACACATCAGCAGCATCACTAGTCGTAGTTCTCTTCGTTTCTACCTTGCAACACTGAAGATGCGGCGAACGCCGCAAGAAACCGAAACCGAAAGCATCTGAGATCAAATATCTGCTCGGCAAATCTATGCAGCCCTGCGGAACCCTGAGAGTAGTTGTAATGGTAGTTCTTACAGAATCTCTGCAGAACGACCCTAAGGCCTGAGGCTCAAGGCCCCCCACACGCTGGACTGGAAGGCCATGAACTCAGCCTCACTGTTTAAGATATAACAAGGGCTTCATGGGGTTTTACAGGGGGTTTATGAAGAATTTAACAGTAGCTATATAGGGGAGGGTACTGAAAGTCAGAAGCGCTTCGTATCTAGCGGCGAAGCCTTCCCAGTCTCGCCCCACCACTCTACGTCATCACGACAAGAGCACCCTTCTTTCCTACAGGGGCTTTTCTCATGTGCCAGATGACAACTCGTTAAGAGCACTCGTGGTTGAAGAGGTGCACGAGTCTTGATGAGAGCCGTGGGTTCGGAGTGCGGGCACTACTTCAGTCCTTCAACTAGGACCATGAAAAGGTCCGCAAACCCGAAAGTCTGCAGTATAGGCTTTGCACTGCTCGAAAAACCCTGTAAAGCCCCCCAGCCCTAGAAGTATCTTCGAACACAAGAAGCTTGATGATCACACTGATGCTAAGAGCAACACAACAACGATGTTAACGATTTGCTTGCAAAATGGCCAGCCTTGATTGGTGGGAGCTGCAGGAAATCCCCGCAGAAAACCACCTGGAGGCCTGCCACGCGGAGTTGGGGTTAAGGATGTAGGATGATGTAGGGCTTGGGGTTTCGTACTTTGGGATTGCGATTTACAGGTTTTGGGGCGTTGGGTTGGGGTTTACCGCAAGAGGTCCAGCGTAGGACTTAAGATGTAGGGTTCAAGGGTTCAGGGATTATGGTCTTTTTTGGGGGTGTTAGACTCTTTCGTCTTGGGCGATTTTGAAATTAGGATTGCTTGATGGAAGGATTGCGCGGTGGATGGCATTATGGGATCAGGGCATCCGGCTTCGCTTCTGTAATTTAGGGCATCGGGTGGGCGTTCAAGTCAGGAGCTTGGTGATTGCGAGGTTTACTCACGCCTGGACTACGGATTCGAAGGATCACCCTGACGACGTTTCTCAATCTATAACTCGTCTATGTCTTCATTATCGCAGATTGGGCCGCCGCAGCTGAAAGTAGGCACAGGAAAGTTGGAGGCAATCTCATCCCAAAAAGGCTTAGCAAGCCTAGTTTCAACCCTCTTCTTCTTACTCTAGCCTTGCTGAACTTCCCAGCCCAGCCCAGAACGCCTCCGAAGGGCTTCTCGGAAGCAAGTATTCGAGCGACCTGGTGGCACTTCAGGTGGCTGCAGGGCTCGGACTTACGTCTGCGGCTTCGGGACCCTCCTAGCCCTAGCCCTGCAGCCTCAATCAAGGGCAAAGCCACAAACAACGTGAGAAGTCACGTCTCACGTCTGGCTCTGTGCAATAGTTTCCACGCTTCTCCGTCCAGCAGAAACCTGCTGTCCACGAAGGATGCACTATGTCATCTTATGGCTGAGCATGTGGAGGGGCTTACGGGATGCTGACGCTGCCACCCAGGAGCCAGCTCTCCAGCTTTCTCCAGGAACTCGCCTGTGCACGCTGTTGCTACTGAGGACTTTTTCATAGCAGCGACAATAACCACCGAAACGAAGAGCCTACTTCTGGGGTTTGGGGTCTAGGAAGCGTTTAAATCCCGGATGCCGAGATCGATGACCGGTCTGTGAAGAACAGCCCTGAAGCTACATCTAGCGCCTTGCACCCCCAGACGGTGAACCCTGAAAGCTCTATCGAAAACTTAGATAGTGACTTGGTCAGGGTGTTGAAAGCTTCAAGTTTATAGCGTCAAGGTTCTGACTACAGGTCTTCAGGGGCATCAGGGTACAGAGTTTGGATTCAATAGAACCTGAAAGGCCACTTTCTGCCATGAAGGAAAGTCAAAGCCGACTGGCTACCCTCCGACAAAAGCATTCTGAGACTTCAAGACAAGGTTCGTAAACCCCAAACCACCATGCGCCAGAAAAAAAAAAAAAGTAGAAACGCATAGAGCGCGCCGAGCCTTCTGCCCTGATGTACCCAGCAAGTGTCCCAGACCTCGAGTCTTAAAGAAACCTTCGGCCTGGAGTCGTCCAGGGCAGTGGGCCCCAAAAGACCCCAAATCCCGGAAGTCCCGCCCTGTGACCTGCACCCAAAAGACCCCTTTGTTGCAACCACGGAAGGGTGGCCTAGGCCGACCCGGGAGCCTGAAACTCCGCACCCAAAAGCCCGAGCCACCAAGAGGGGCCTGAGAGCATGCTGACCTCGTCAATCAGCAGGACCTCCGTGTGGCGGATGCGCCTCAGAGAAAGGCCGAGGTCTGAGCTCTTAGAACAAGCCTTTCCTGAGCCCCCTTCTCTCCCACTGCCTCGCCCCATCCCCAACAACACAACCTCAAGTAAGCCCTGCGAAGGCATTCAGCTCGTTCAGGCCCTCACTTCTTGGCCTTCCGGCTGCGGGAAGCCTTCTCCCAGTCCTCCTCCGATTCCGCCTTCCCGCAGCCTGAGAAACTACAAGGCGCAGGCTGCCTGCTTGGGGGTTCCAGGTGTTGGGTATCGGACGTGAGTCATCTGAAAGTGCCTGTGCAGCAATGGATGCACTCGATGTAATCTGGTGCACGTGTTTGCATGGTGTACGGTATATGTAGGAATGGGTCAGGCGGTGCTTGTGCATGCGCGTGTGCAACAGCATACTCACGTGCACACGTGTCATGTGTCATGTGTCACCCTGCGCATATTCGCAAAGAAATGAAAGCACGTGCAGGGACAAGTGCAAGCCAGCAACAAGCTGTCGAACATGAAAGTACCTACATCCATGCATCCACCCATCCATCCATTCGTCCGTCCGTTCGTCCGTCCGCCATCAGTACATCTATCCATCCATCCAGAACCCACCCATCCATCCCGAACCCATGCATGTTTCGGGCTTGCATACGTGTACATACAAACACAGATTCCCAGGAGCGAGTATGCGGCAATGCCCGAAATGTGTCTCCATGAAACAGACGACGGGATGTTGCCCAAGCTTGCTTATGCGCTCTTAGACCTCACGCACCTAACAATTCGAAACATATGGGGCCCTGGGTCCGCTGATCCAAGTGTCATGCGCTGCTTTAAACGGAAACCGCCCAGGTCCGAGTGCTGCCAAAGGACCCAGGTAGGAGTGGATCGTTGATCCCCCAATCTTGGCGGAAGAGCGGCTGAACTAGAGGCTGCGGAACCGAGTTTTGAGGCACAAAACAGCTAAGTTGATCTTGAGACTCCTATGCAATCTAGATACGAAGGGGCTGAAACGTCAAGCTCCCACGTTCCCTTCAGGGTCGAGACTTCGACGAATGTAAAAACCAAATCATGAATCCAAAATTCCGAGGTCCCACAGCCTTCCATCACAGAGACATGCTTACAAGGGCTGTGGTCTACAACGCACTTACCTCAGCCTCACCAAGGTCTTGGGTTTTCGGGTAGAGGTTCGGGTTTTGGTGTATTCGGGATAAACACGGTACCAAAAGCCTTGCGAATGAGCTCGCAGAACCACAGCAGGAAAGGACATGAACTGACGAGCGGCGTGGATACCAGCCACACCGGTCGAAGCACAAACAGCGACGGCCTCGTGGCCCTGCAGCTAGGCCACATGGAGAACTCCTACACAAAGAACCTCAGACTTTGCACAGTTGGCCCCAAAAGAAAAATGGTTTATGGATTCGAAAAGGACATTCTTGGTTCTGTGACAGCCGACGGCCAGAAACGACGCCCCAGGCGCAGGGGTCCGGCATGGATTGACATCTTTTCTCTTGCGTGCAGGGAAATGATGCAGACAGTGTTCGTAGGTAATATAAGGGTCTGAATAATCGGAAGAGGGTTCGGGGTTTTTTTAATTATAACTCCAGGACTTGCAAGATATACTCGTTCGTAACGATTGCGGGCCCTGTATCTCCATGTCCGTCACACTCGGTTCGGGCCGTTTTAACTATCTCACAGTTGACCAATCCCATGGCACCCCTTTGAAGCCCGGCTATAACAGAGTATACAAGCCGAAACAAAAGGTGACCGTCTCCAAACACTTTGACATGGCACTGTATAGATCATGTGGGTGTGTGTACCAAAACAGCGTCCGAAATTCTAGAAAAAGCAGTGGTTTGGCGCAAATGCACGCCGCCGCCACGGTGGTCCAGACTCCGGAATAGTGGGCTGCTACGTTGGGTTGCAATATTCAAGGGTGAAAGTCCGAATCAACTGTAACCACCGCTCCTTGCGCAAGCGCAAGATCTCGATCAGCTTCTTCAGCAGGAAGGATTTGCCACAGCCGGGGAGGCGTCCTGGACAAGCACGCTGCATTCAGAAGCTTCGACTTTCACAGCTTGGACAATTTGGGCGAGGCGTCTGAGAGCGATGATCGAAGCGCAACGGTACACCGAATTCCGACACATCTCTCTCTCTCTCTCTCTCTCGATGTTGGTTGCCAGGATTTGTTCAGTTGGCCACATCTTCGATGAAGCGCAGAAGCAGCGGTTGCAAGCTTTCTTGTGCTATCGGCTACAGAGCCCGGTTTGGGCTTGGGGTTCAGTTACCGAGAACCTCGGCACATAGCTCTCAAGCAGCTAGCAGCGCTATGCAACGAATGCAGCGCTGCCCAGTAGCATGCACAAGATTGTGTGGAGATCTGATACCAAGCATCTCGCAGCGTCTGCCTTCTAGTTTGCAGCCCTCGGATAAGCACACGTATGCTCGAGCGTTTACAGACAGACTCGCATTGTCGGCATACTGCTTGGGGAAGAAGTAATCAAGGGCCAAAGCAGAGCAGACATCTGATTCTGGAATCCGACCCAGGCCTGTGATGAAGACATTTCGGCCGGCCAGCACCTCCTCCGCAACGGCCTTCTGTTCCTGGAATGGGGTTGCAGTGACGAAGAAAGAGACTCCACAAAAGGAAACCGTTCCATAAGGGTCGCATAAGGGCGATTATGAAGGGCTTAGCCTGTACGCTCTCGCACAACTCGGAGTCTAAGACCTTTAGGCACTGCACCTTCCACGCGGGAACCCCACGCTCAGGATCACAAGACCTGAAGAATATCAATCCCTAGACTCCCTAGACTCCAACACTGACACAACCCAAACCCTACGCCCTAAAGTCCTGAACACCAAACTCGACAGCCACCCCAAGCGCCGTAGTCCCCACCTCGTGCAGCTCAGCCATGAGCTTTGCTTCCAGAACGGGGTCAGGCTTCGGCACCTTGTCGGGCGTGCAGCTGTCTTGGGATAGGGGTGGAAGTCGGGGAGCTTTACTTCAGGGCCATGCCTGGGCTGGAGCGATGTAACACCGAAGCTAGGAGTTGAGAAGTTGAGAATCGAGACTTTAGGGGTTGGCTTTTGGGCTGCGGGGTTTTGAGCGTCTGGGTCTACGGTTTGTGCGGTTGTAAGGGCGCAGGATCCAGTTTAGGGTCATGGGCACTCAGAAGTGGTTTCAAGATCTTTGCTGACACTTTCGTGCTTCGTTGTTGCGGGCATGCGGCGCAAGGGAGAAGAAACCAGGGCTGGGTAACTACGCTTGCGTCCCATCACACCCGGATTTGGAGGCCTGAACGACTGCGAATTTGCAGTCCACGGTTTTTTTCTGGTACACTTCTCGATTGTACAATCCACGGTTTCGGGTTTAGGGTTTAGGGCCCCCGGAATCTTGAGAAGATCATACGCACCCAGAAACTCGATTCGAATCAATGAGGCTCTTACAAGCGTCAACCTCACCCTCCACAACCGTGGCACCTCCCCATCTGCCTAGCTGAACCTGACTCCCCCGCTTAAAGCATAAGTTTTAGGGTTTACACTCTCACAACTCGGACATTTTAGGTTTTAGGGTTTAGGGTTTAGGGCTTAGGGTCCCTATCTTCTTCTGTTGCTTACAGTAGGGCCTCGGGGTTTTAAGATTCCTCCCACCTTGCGCGGCTGTGGCGGGGCGCTCGCAGCCTCGGAACTCGGGCCAGCTTCGAGCCTTCATCAGTCCTCAACCCTAAACCCTTTTTTGAGCGTCTAGGGTTTAGGGTTTAGGGTTTAGGGTTCCCTAAACCCTGAACCCTTAAACCCCTTTGCTTTCGCCTGAAACCTTCTAAAACCTTCAAGCCCGACTTAACAAGAAATAACTGTGAGCCCTTCACCCTAAGCCCTCCAAGCCCTAAATCCTAACCTCCACCGTCCACCCCAAACATCAACAATTACCAAGACTATGTTGGGGGTTCCTTATTACAGTTATAGTATAATACCCCCCCAAAACCCCTATTCACCCTGTTAAAATTACAAAGGCCCCTACATAGCTGCTAAATTCCCGGAACGGTGAGCTTCGAACACGCAGGCCACAGTTCCAACCCCAAATGAGGGTTCCTTTTTCGGTCCCCAATATAGTACGGCACCCTTACAAAAAGGACCCCAAAAGGGACCCCAACTCAACCCTAAACCCTAAACCCTAAACCCTTAGAAGTTGGATCCCCAAACGGGACCCCCAATTTAGAAAACCACCCACTTGCAGAATCCGGGCCTTGCTCCTGGCACGACTTGGCGCGCTTGGCGAGCGCACAAAGGCTGCAGCCTCCTTCATGGGGACTTTAGGGGCTCTGAACCTTAAGCTCCCATATGGGTTTAGGGTTTAGGGTTTAGGGTTTATGGGTTTAGGGTTTAGGGTTTAGGGTTTATGGGTTTAGGGTTTAGGGTTTCGGCTCTCACACTCGGACAGTCCAGGCGAGGTATATGACGGGCGAGCGTTTAGGGTTTAGGGCTCTGAACCTTAATCTCCCATATGGGTTTAGGGTTTAGGTTTAGTGTTTAGGGCTCTGAAGCTTAAGCTCCCAGGGTAGTTCTTAGGGTTTAGGATTTAGGGTTATCAGGACCCTACACCTCTTTTGGATCCTTATAGCAACCCTTCCGGGACCCTTGCAGCAGCCCGCAACATTAGAGAAATCCTGGACATCTCCCTTAAAGGCTCAGCTCACACTCAGTCTTGAAGTTTCGCAGGTTTCAGCTAGGAC